CCCTGCACCTTCCCAACCCCCCAAAACCGTCCCTCTTCCTTGCCTTTGATAGTATCCCCGTTCCCTCCACCTTCCCTTCCCCCCCCCCCCTCCTAAAGAATGGCAGAAGCAAAGCAAGCAACTACTACATTAATATTTTGATTGCTGAAGGCTCTGACAGTTGGTGTTGGAGAAGACTCCTGAGAATACCATAGAAAGCCAAGAAAATAAACCAATGGATCATTGAACAAATCATCCCAGAGTTCTTGCTCGAGGCACAAATGTCCAGGCTCAAATTATTCTACTTTAGACACATTATGCGAAGACCTAGCATTCTGGAAAAGGTTTAATGCTGGGAAAGGTGGAAGAAAAGAGAAGAAGAGGATGACCAGCAGCAAGGGGGATGGGCTCAGTTACAGTGTCAATGAGTGTCCCATTGCACAACCTGAAAGACCAGGTTAGGGACAGACAGTCATGGAGAAAATCTATCTATGTGGTTGTTAAGAGTCAACAACAACGTGATGGCGCATAATCAGTAAATCTATCCATCCTATGTCCACTCAGGAGTTAGCCACTGTAAAGCAATTTCTAGATAATAATTCAAAGAAAGGTTTTATTTGCCCTTATTTTAAACTCTAGTATCTGCACTCACATTTTTTGTACCCAAGAAAGATAATTCCTTGAAGGTTACAGACATCTAAACAGTGTGTCTCTTATTTCAGACCTACTAGACTGCCTGTCTTGAGAGGCATTTGAAAGAGAGACACAAATATTTAACTGTTTTTGATATTAGGTATGAGAAATTTGGTAGCAATATACTTTCCTCCTGCCTCAGGAGACAGGAGGAACAATCAGAATTTAAAGCATGGCAGAATAAAGTTGTTTGAGCAGCCTTACAAAATGTTCGGAGAAAGGGTGCTGTACAGATAAGCACTTATCACTGAGCAGACACAAAAATAATTCCTCCCTTCCTCTTTTTTCCTCCTAGTGCTCCTATCTTTTTTGTTCAGGAGGATGGCTCTCTCATGGAGTAAAGTATTACAAGATCCTGAATTCTGAAATCATTAAGGATCATGATCGTTGTCTCATTTTTAAACACTCAGAGTGGCTACACGAAGCAAGCATTTTTTCCAAACTGGATTTCAGAGGAACACTTACAGACTCACACGCAGATTCAGATTCTGACTGAATGTTAGAAAAAGCTTCATAACGCTAAAGTTTGAGAGTGGATCCATCTAGTCAGAACAACAATGGGTGGGATATGTTTAGTCAGGAGCTGAACAGGGCAAAGGTACCCTTGTATAAATATCCCATTGCATCTCCAGGAGGGTTGAAGGCAGGATATCAAATCTGGCTAATGTAAAAGTTCCCCAGTTCTGGACAGGGGATGTTAGAGAGATCCCTAGCCATTAAACATGGAATCCCTAGCCTAGGCTATACATTTTGGGGCTAGAACTTAATTTTTTCTGCAGGTTCAGGTCAAAGAGCCACTGTTTTATCTCCAAAAGATTTCTTCATTGACAATCAAAACCTGATACTGTGTGAAGAAGCCACAGAGTGTTAAATCAGAGTTTATTTCAGTGAGCCATGAGGGGGGTAAATTTATCCTACAAAGTGTAATGGGCTCTAAAAGTAACCTTGAAGAACAGGAAGAACAGATGCAACCAAGACAATGGTCAGACAAAAGAAATTTGAGTATGAGGCAGAAATGTACAGCTTTCCCAATGGACTTTTTTAAAGTCCTCGCTTAATGACCATTCATTTAATGACGGTCTGGAGTTATGACAGCCTTGGAAAAAGTGCTTTACAACCCCTGCAGTCACGCAATTGCAATTTGTGACCTGTTTTATGACAATCGTTAAGCGAATTACCATGGTTGTTAAGCAATCACATGATCATTAAGCAAATCACGTTGTCGTT